TTTTTGAGACAGAAACTCAAGCTGCCCCCCCTAGGTAGAGTCCTGTGGCATCACAGCTCACAGTAACCTCCAACTCCTGGGCTCAAGCGAATCTCCTGCCTCCGCCTCCCAAGTAGCTGGGACAGGCACCCGCCACAACACCTGGCTATTTTTTGGTTGCAGCCATCATTGTTGTTTGGCAGGCCAGGGCTGGATTCGAACCCGCCACCTTAGATGTACTGGGCTGTCGCCTTAGCCACTTGAGCCACAGGCGCCGAGCCACAAGAAACATTTTCAAGGAGCAGCACTGGCTCTGGAAGGTGCACAACATTGAAGCTCCCTCTGCAGAGGCAGACATTTGTCCCACTTCACTCCAGAAGAAGCCTGAACTAGGAGTAGGGAACACAGGGCTCTAGTTCTAATTCCATCACTTGTTCATGACCCCAGCAAGTCTCCGAGCTGGTACAGTGTCCTCTCTGGTATAGTGAGAAGAATCTCACCTGTGCTATGGTTCCAGCCATAAAGGCCGGGAGCAAATGCTCTGAAAAAAAGCAGCTGGAGCTCTAAACCTAAGAGTTATGGCTCCCGACAGCCAAACTCCTATTCAGACTGATTGCTCAAGTTTTTGATGTCACTAGTCTCAGGTTGCTGCCTTTTCTGAGAACATAATGAAAAATGAAGTGACAGTTGCCTTCTAATCCTGGTGGCTCAGAAGAGTCTGCATGGTCCCTGGGGAAAGCCTAGGACATGTTAGTTCTGTGCTGTGTGAGTTCAGCTCTGCTCCTAGGAGTCTGGAGAGAAAAGACTGGAAAACATGATTCTGGAGGGAACCCAGGAGGACCCTGGTGCTTGCTTTTTGAACATACCAGTAGGCATGTCAGAGATAGCCTCAAAGCCCGAGCGCAGTGACCCCAGGGGCCTATGTGTCACTCTTGCCTCAGGTTCCAGGTACAGTCCGTGTTCCAGCTTGCCTTTCTGCTCTGATGCCAATGTTCTCTGTGAGGATGCCAATGCCCTCCCTACTCCCAGCCATTCCTACACTTGCCACAGACTTCGGCGTCAGCTCTGTTTGTTATTGGCCCTTCCTGATCAATAACTTTTATTACTAGACCCCAAATAGGAGGATCAATGAACTTCCTGAGAGGACACTGATGGCTAGACATGGTATCTTCAATTACAAGAAATGAGCCAGGACCCTAAAGGAGCCTTTTTGTGGAGGGTGGCAGTCCTGCAAAGGTGACAATGGCACTCTGACAGTCTGGGGATTAGGAACAGAGCAGAACAGGGGTTTTTCACTAAGGATGATTTTGCCTCCTGTCCCCTACTGTGAACACGTGGCAACGTGTGAGGACAGTTCTGATTGTGATAGCTAGGACGTACTCCCAGCAACTAGTGGGCAGAGGCCAGGATGCCACTCAGTATCCTACAATGCACAGGACTGGTCCCCAAAGCAAAGAATGATCTGTCCTAAACGTCAACAGTGGTGATGAGCCTGGGAAACCCTGGAGACGGAAGGAGGCTCCCCTCTACACATGAGGCTACTCTCATTTGAATGTGTTTCTTTTCTTTTTTTTTTTTT